TAAAAATAACATTAATGCCAAAAAAGCGTAAACAAAAGGCACCACGAGACTTTTTAAGTTTTGTTTACTTAACATTTCTAGAGTAAAGTACTGGAGTGCGGATGAATCAACACAGCATACACAACCTTTTTTGTCTTGTAGCTTCTCTTTTTGAATGTTTTGTGTAAAACCCCAGCTTTTGACATGTCATATGTTCATTTATAAAAATTTCTTTGTCAAATAATTTCACTTTACACGAAATTCAATTCCATGGAGGTTTGATTTTTCCTCCCTTTCAGAATGTTTCAGAAATGAGTTAGGTAAATCAATAAGTAGCTCTATGCACAATCTTTATTTTCTTTACTAGGAACTGTTAAATCCACAAATCAGGTTATTTGTATCTTAAATTTTGCTTGTATGTCTTAGCAAATTTTAGCTCGCTTGACAGCTCATATCTAAAGAACTTCTATGTTGGAGCACTCATATCTCTTGGTACCACTGTATATAGCTCACAGTAAATGTCAAGGTTAATGTTATTTTCTGCAGACTAGCTTTTTTTTGTTACTCTGCCTGAATTAAATTTAGAATCTATTTGTAATCTTAGCTAATTCTGTAAGGAGGGAGAAAGCACGATATTGTCTTAGGGCTTCCTGGTGCACCATGTGACCTGGCAGGCTTGAGAGGCGAGTCACAATACATGTAGTGCAATGGGGCGGGCATGGGAACATTTAGTATCAATTAATTATTGAAAATACAATAACACACTATTTATGCATAATATTCAGCATATAATGTATATTTTATTCTTTTAATACTCTAAAGAAATAAAATAGGCTCAGTATGCAAGCAGGCTTATTAATTTCTGGGGGGAAAAAAGTATCAGCAGGTAGACTAAAAGCAAGAATATTTCAAATTCTGTGTGTAAGAATACAAAATGACACATGTTAATACCATGAAATATTGTGAAGCATTACTGTACTTTTGGTTTGTTTTATGTCATTCGGTTACTTAATGGTGCCCAATTGAAATCAGGAGTTTCAGGTTTGCTTTGCTATGTGTGTCTGTAAGCAGTATTTTACTCTATATTAATCACTTGTATAAATTGAATTGTTGTGTAAATTTTTAGCCATGATGGCTTATTAGGTTTTGAATGCAACAGTGTATAAATGTCAAAAATGGAGAAAATACTTTGGGAATAATTTATATATAGTGGACCTACTGAAAGCAATTCTTCACTTAACACCTTGTGTGCTATTTGCAAAGTATAGTGATATCTTTAAGAATGTCGTATAATATGTTGACAATTAATGAGTTAGTTTTGAGTTAATTGTGTTGGAGTAAATCCACTTTAATATTACAATTAAAAACAGAAACAGCATCAGGTGCACACATATTTTAGCGACTGTCATGTGACTAAGAAAACCCCAGTCTCCTCCGTTTGCACTATGGCATTCTTTTTTTTTAAAAGAGTGTTCTACAATAGGGATTTGGTAGGCTATTACATTCAAACCAGGTTGGCACCTGTGTCCCTTCAGTTGTGCAACGGATACATCATCATGCTCCTTGATGCTTGGCTTATGACCAAGGGGATGTTCTACCTCACCCTTGCTCAGGCTGATCAACTTACAATCAAAGTTTTTACAAAGCACACTTTGTTACTGCAGCACAAGGTTTTTTTAACAAGCAATTTTATTGGATTCCAGAAACAAATCTACTTTCTGGTAACCAGAGTGATTTTAACATAAGTTTACCTCTCCTTTAATTGAAAACCTGTTTTTTTTAAACAGTATTAATAAATATTATTTTCTAAAATTCATCTAACAGTAATTCCTGATCAGCCACGAACTCGTCCAGAGCGTTCTCCGATGCTTCCTAAACTTGGTATAAATAGTTCAAGTAGAGATACACCAAATGTAAAAAAGAGACACCGTAGAGCGAAGAGTGGAGGTGTAAAAAATTCAAATCCTGGTGATGGAGATGGTAAGTACTTATTTTCAAAATTTATTTAGAAAATCAAAACTTGTTTGGGGTATTTTTATTTACAGTAATAGAAACACTTGATTTGTAACAGCTAAAAATTAATACATAGTTATTGGCTTAATCATCAAGTCCCTTATAAAAGAGCTAGTGCCATTAGAACTATTTCAAATGTGTTGTGCAAAATTATCAATAAAATGATAGTTATACATACCACTTGTCCAATAAAAGTTTAAAATACAGTATAGAAAAGAAAATCATATGGCTCCATATTTTTTGACACTGTTTCTTCTTGGCACTTTCCCACTTCTATAAATTACAGATTAACTAAATACCAAATTTTCCAATGTTAGCTTTTTGTGCCACCTTCCTCTCTCACTCTGTCAAACTGACGCCTCACCTTGTGTTATGTTAGTTGTGGCTATGGAAAGGGTTTCTAAGCGTGCCAATTGTTTCTTTAGTCCAGATATATATATATATATATATATATATATATATATATATATATATATATATATATATATATATATATATATTTGTATGTATATATACATTTGTATGTATATATACATTTGTATGTATATATACATTTGTATGTATATATATTGATTGCAATCAGATGGTATAATTGGCAAAACAATTATCACGCTTTCAGGTAAGTGTAATTGAAGGACCTCCATGATGCCATCAAAAGCAACATTTTAACCCCCACTCATCCCATTCAAATTCTTTGATCTAGTTCACTGGTTCTTAACCTGGGTTCAATCGTACCCCAGGAGTTCGCTGAGTCAGTCTCAGAAGAATAATCTGTAACAATCAGGGATGTAACCAGACCATGAAAAACAAATAGGACATTTTTTTCGGACAAGAACTCAGTATGTTTATCTATATTTTTAATCGCAGTTAAAGCAGTCTAACACCATTACTGTACTATTAAAAGTTTAACTTATATAGCCAGATTTACTGTTAGTGTCATAATTAATTTTTTTTGTAATTTTTAAAAAAAAGATGCATTTTTGACAGATTGTGAACCCCTGCAATCTTCTGGTTAATTAACCATGTTTCAAACGTACATATCATAAGCATACACGCTACTTGTATTCAAAGAACTGTTGATCCTCAAAATTTTGATATACTTATGAAGTATACTGTTTCACCAGAAAAGTTTTGCCGATTTTTTTTTGTCCACAATTTGTGTTTTTTTTTTACTTTTCTTTTTACTTTTATCAAAATGTGAGAAAAGTCAATTTCAATGCTATTAATGTAAATGATGTACTTAATTTTGAGGATTGAAAAAAATTTAGTCTGTTCTCTGTGCAATTGTCATTGTGTTGAGTGCAAAAGATTGAGTCTTCGTCATATATATTTACAGATATAAACCCCCAAATAGGGCACTTTAGGATGTCAAAGAAAAAAAACACAAAATTATAAAACGTCATAATTTTTTTACTACTTGAGACATCTATATATATAATCCTCTTCATGGAGACCATAGAAAACACAAGCTGTAAGCGTGCTAGCAGCCCCCTCTCTTCCTCTCTAGGCATATCCCTACAACCCCACCCCCACATGGTTCATGCTAAATGTTTACAATCGTAGAGCCGGGTTTAGTGACGGCTATTAGGGGCAGATAATTTAGTTTGAAACGATTTTAAACTTAGGTGAGCTAACTAAGAGGAGGCTGCTTTCATGGGTGGGGGTGTAGGGTAGGGGTTGGGGGAAAGGAGGTTGGGGGGGGGGGATTATCATCTTTAACAACCTACTGATCGTGTTTTAAAGCAAATAATTTAATTGGCAGCATTGGTACTGTCGAATTCACAAATTATGAATTACTAAAAAGTAGAAATTAAAACAACTAAATAGATATGATATGCCGCGGGTCGGCTCGTATGAACTAATTGGGTATCCACTATCTTAGAATCTTGAGTTCTTGACACACCAACTTTCAAAAAAGCTCTGTGACTGTTTTAAAAAATCAGTTTGACATTCTTATCTATAAGGCCTGCTTAATTTTTTTATTTGAAAAAAAAAATCTCATTTTAGTTTTCTTATTGTGAAGAGTTTGGTGAATGTGCAGTTGAAGCTGGTGGAATTCAGTAGCACAAAAAAGGTTTAGAACCACTGATCTAGTTGGTTCCAAAAATTTTAAAATACATGCTGACTCTATTTCCTATGCTAACATAAAGTGAAGTAGATCTAAATTTAGTAGAAGTTGTAGTTATAAAAATAGAATAGTGCCTAATAATAATTATTGTGCATTTGTTACTCGTTGTTTCAAATATGAATTTAAGAAAGTCAATAATAGTTGTTACTGGTATTTTAAATGTAGCTATGCTTAGTAAACTAGTTTCTTTTTCACAATCCTTATCATAAAACCATGTTTCTCTGAGCTTCAGTGTATTTATATACAAGTATTGGCAACAATTCTGAACTCACAAACTGTTTACTAAACTAATGCAAAAATCAAATTTAAAAATGTGCATATCCAGGAACACCTGACTGAGTAAATTAAAAAATGTTATGATGTAGGAAAAATAATCAAATTAAAATGAGTGTTTTGATTTTGTGTTTAATCTTAAAACAAAAAAAAAAGGAAGTCAAGACCTTTCCGATAATATGAAACACAAAAGGCTACATGAAACCTAATATTAGTTTTCTTGGTCAAAAAATCGCTAATTTTACAACAAAATAAAAGAAAACAGCAGCTGTACATACTACTGTTTTTGGTTTTTTTTTAAATAAAGAAACAGTGCTTTCAGGGCCATAAAACTGTCATTTTTAGATTCAGCTATTATTTTTTATAGATCAAGTATATTAAGGATTTATGATAAAAACTACTGCCACCCATGTCCTTAAATGTGTCTTATTTTCTAGATAGCAAAGTACATTGTCTATTTTAAAAGCAAAAAATGACATGGTAGCACATTGCATATATTAGAAATTTTCTTATACCATTATTTTAATCACAGTAAAAGAAATATTTTTTATTAGTTCTAACCTCTTCACCCAAATGACCATTTTTATATTTTTATTTATAACCGAATGAACACCTGCCCATTTATTATTTCTATTGGGGGGGGGGGGGCAGATTTGTTAAGTACAGCATCAGCATACCAATATAAACAACAAATTACATACATTATTTGTTCAGTAAAAAAAAAAACCTTTAAAATGCCCAAACTAATTCAGTACTTCATATGATTCAGTTGCAACCCAGTTTTTCCTTTAGTTTTTATTTATTTAACTGTTATTATTAATGTATTAGTAGTGAATATATTTTTTAGTTAAGCCAGGTTTTATTTTTATTTTTTTATAACCTGATTTTGTTTATTTCAGATTCTGATGGCTATGAATTTGTTATTGTATCATTAGAGAATAAACAATGGCATTTTGAAGCTCACAGCGGGGAGGTATTTTATTTTATAAATATATTAAATGCTTTTTCATTTTAATTAAATGTCTAAAGGAATTTTTAATTCTCCTCTGTGGAAGTACATCCAGTTAAGAAAAATTCTTCTGTCCCTTACCTCTATCTTCGCGCTCCCCCCACCTCTAATAAATTACTTAAATAATAATGTATTTTTATATGTACCATGCCAGTGTTAATAATTTAAACTAATTGACCACTGAACACAAATGTCAGTCCTCTCTTAATTTCAGTTTCTCTATTTATCCTGGATTGTAGTCCAAACTCCCAAACTATATGTGTACATCATTAAACTTCATTTTAACATGTTGACAATAAAAAATAATTTCTTTTTTTGATAAATATTACCTTTAGCAACTGTACATCCTAAATTTATAATAATACAATATAAATAAATTGTAATTTCTCTGCATATTGCTCACAGGTTTAATTTTCAAAATATACCTTGCTTTCCCTGCAGCTCTAAACACTCACCACACTTTACTTATAACTCCTTCCCACTCTCTTTATTTTTCCTTTACTGTGCACATACCTATTAAAAGCTTCAGCTTTTAATGTCAGTTTACACTTAGAATGATGATGATGTACACTTATGAACATAGTGAAAGGGAATTACTGGCGCTGCTTCTTTACCTGGGTAAACATAGAGCTGTCAAATTATCCTCAAATCCTAATATTGAGCTAGTTCTTATAGTTGTTTAGCCTTTCCTCATCTTCTTCTTCTCTTGCTGACTTAGCTCCTCCAGGTCCATTAGTAGTTGCAGATGTATGTTAAGCAGGTCATTAATTATATATATATATAATATATATATTAGCTATTTGCATGAAATTTTGTAATTAATTAAAATGACAAAATAACCAAATGGTTGTATTAAGGGTACTAAATGCTTAAAAATGATACCAAATCTATGATATTAGGTTAAACGGTTCTCTAGATATGACGGTTTTAGTGTAAAAAAAAAAAATAATTGGTCACGTCCGAGAGTATAGAAAAAAAAGGCGAATGGGAAATAATTCTGAGTGGGCGCCCAATTATAAATTTTCAAATAAGAATTTTTTAATGCATTTATAACTGAATAGAGTATCTATACCAAGATATTAATCAATTATTAAATTTAAAAGTGGTCTATTAAGTGGCTAAATTCAATCATTTAACTCAAACATCATAGTAGTAGTAAAAATAAAAGAAACTGGCTGAGTACAAAAATAAACATTCCTAATTCCTAGGTAAACGGTATCATAGACAGATCAGTACAGTGCAACATATATGAGTGTTTTTGACTTATTGGAAGCATGTCAGTTAAGAGATAATCTTTGGGTGGCACTAGATAACTGAACATAGCAGGCGTGAAACAATCAGCAATGTTATCAAGAATCAAGCATTTCACACAGACGGTAGACAAGAGTGTTTCTGCCTGGCTTTGGCCTCCAGTTTTAAATATGACATCTTGCCACCTGGTATTGAACGTGAGGGACAGTGTGGTCCTGGGATGACCTATGGTCACCAGGCCGGGTACCAAACTATCAGTTTAGTTAGTTTAGTAGTTGTTGCATGTTTAGCATATTGTTTGTATGCATTTGTTTAAAAAAAATATTTTTTTTGCAGCTGATAATGGTTTGATAGTTCATATATGTATTATCAGCTGAAGAAAGGAGAGGGGTATGTTGTGAATGGACTTTAGTGTATTGAATGAGTTTGAGAGTATGTGTGTGGTTGTATGGGTTTAATAAAGATGTTGATGGTTTGAGAGTATGTGTGTATTAATAAAAGATTCTAAATGCCTAAATAAATAAGGATGTGACTTAGGAGAGTATGTGTTGGTTGTTAGGGCAAAAAGTAGAAGTCTTAGTCTTGTTCTTGTGGCAACTCAATGGACACGAGCGAGAAAAGTCTCAAAGGTATTCGAGAGGTGTATAAATTCATTTAAAAATCATGCACAGCGTAGTTACAATTAATATGGTTATAAGATCCTCTCTGTCTGGTTTTTTTCGGACTTTACTAAAGATTGGATGTATTTGATGTTTATAATATTTTCGGTAACTAAATAAAAATGAAAAAAAAAGCAAAAACAATTTGGTTTTCACGTGTAATGGCGACATAAACAATGGCATCCTGCTATTGGATAGGCCGCCATTGATTTTATTGTACACATTGTAAGCTAAAAATAGAAAACTAGGTCATGGGGTTTTAAATTTGCATTGTAATTTAAAAACTTGATCTGCAAAGTTTTGTAAACAAATAGTTATCGATCACTAAGTTACTGTACAGCCAATCAATATTTGTCTTACGAAAGTGAAACATCCGGTTATAACTTAGGCTTGATTAAAATAAATAGAAATGTAGCCTTAAACTCAACAAATTATTTTCAAGTTCTCTGGATTTGCAACTTTTATAACATTTATTCTAAAAATATAAAATTTCTAAATTAATTTTAGGCTTAAGTTTTTATTTTTTATTTTTTTTTACGGTCTAAATCTAAAAAAGCACGTTTTTATTCCATGTCAACAACATTGGGGACGGAATCTCGTCAACTCGCTCGCCTCCATTAGCACCAGACTCAAAGGTCTTTAACTCAGAAAGCCTCCCCCTCATACAATCATTATCAGAGTGTGAGTGGGTATCAAGCAAATAAAATATGCCTTTGTTTACAAGAGTATGTTTTATTCTTTAGCAAGATAAACTAATGGAATATGAAATAACTGAAGCCTGTCAGTGTACACATATTTTATTACAAATATCACGGAAACAAAAGTGGAGAACGGTAGTATCTATATCTTTAATACTCAGGCCTAGGGGGTTTATTTTGTTAGTCGGGTTTTACAGCTTGTCAACGTCTGGAGAAGAAAGTAAAAGGATAGGTGAAAATAACAGTAAAAATGTACAGACTCCCACTAAATTCAAATTAAGTCTGAATGTTTTCTTATTTTCATTGATATAAATACCAATGGATATAGCGGCAAAACATCAGCGATACCGCTTTCCTCGATTTTTAGATTTAAGCCCCTACTATAATGCGTTACGACAAGGCTGATTTTCATAATTAAAAAATTAAACAAAAATCAGATAGCTTACTCAAATCGAAGCTAGTGTCATTATTTATACTTTTAAATCATTCTTTTTATAACTTAATTCGAACTTTGTGTTGAGTTATAGTATACCTAATTCAATCATTAGTAGCACAGGCCACATCATTAGCTCAATTCACACAATTTTAAAAAGGTTAATTTATCATCTTTGAATCTACTCATTAAGTACTTTAATTATTAAAATTCTTTGAGAAAAAAAAATGTATAAAATTTGGTAACCTAATTCCTATAAAACGAAGGAACATGAAAATGCTGTATCGATACCGTTAATATGGTACTTAGTTTGTGAGACATTTTGAATAGTCTGATAAACCTAAAACTAAAATAAATATGGGCGGCGGCCCCCATATCAAATTTTAATTAATTTGTTCACAGAAACCTTCTCAGGAGTATTACTCATTAACTTAAGTTGCATGGCATTCGGATGAACGGTGTTGAACCGCATCCGACTTTTATTTTTTATATACTGTATATAGAGAAAAATCGGGGCCCCGCCCTTGTGAAATTAAAAAAAAGTTTTCCTCAGAAACCTCCCTAGGAGTTTCATGGTGATCGGATGAAAGGTGTAGTAATGCATAAAAGAAAGACAGATACACAGATATTATATATAGGCATATATATATACACATACACACACACATATATATACACACACACACATATATACATACACACATACATACATACACACACATAGGTCTAGGTGCCTATATATATAGGGGGGCCTATATAATATATAGGCATAAAAATATAAAGCAGTCTTTTTCTATATTTGCCACTTCCCCTTCTCTCCTAGAACATGTTCCTGACTTTGTCCATTGGAAATTGAATTGTGTAGGCCTATTATCTAATTTTATTATGTTGAATAAAGGGAAAAATATTTAAAATAGACACTTAAATTTTTTTTAGAATTAGGCCTATATAAACAAAATGTATGCAAATTTTAATTTTATTTACTTTTAGGATCGTGATGACTGGGTTGATGCAATTGAGCAGCAAATTCTCTCTAGCCTTCAAGCAAATGATGCTGGAAAAAATAAAGTAAGACTAAACTGTTACTTTGAAAATGTTCAAAATTATTCAGCAAGGCATCCCTGAGTCAACCAAGCAATTAGTACCTAAATTCAAGTTAGAGAAAGTAAAAGTGGCTAGACATAAATCTATCTACACAATTCCTTCATATGCTTCTCTATTGACACTCATTTCCAAAAGTGAATCTTTACTTTTTATAATTTGGTAATGCATTTATTATATTAGAACTTTATTACAATGTGAGTATCTCCAATTTCCTATGAAGCATGAAATCATTCATTGATGGACTTAGAAGTTAGAACTGAAATTATCACAAACAGAAACATTTTTGCCATGTCCTTATTTATAACTATTCAAATCTGAGAATCAACTTAAGCAGCCCATGTAGCCCACAAAACAAAAGCAACCTTTGTTATGAGGGTGTTGTCACTTCCTGTTTGATATTACTAAGACCAATAAACTAGAAAAGCTGGTTCCAAATGTTTATTGTTAGAAAGCATATTTTGCAACCAAAGTTTAATCTATATATATAATTCTCTTCTTGGAGACGTTAGAAAACACCAAGTTGTAAGCGCGCCTAGCAGTCCCCTCTCTTCGTCTCTAGGCATATCTCTCTTCCTCTCAAGGAATATCGCAACCACCCCTACCCCACATGGTCTACATGGTCTGGTGAGCTGTGGTTCACGCGAAATGTTTACAATCGTAGAGCCGGGTTTAGTAACGCCTATTAGGGGCAGATAATTTAGTTTGAAACTATTTTAAACTTAGGGGAGGTAACTAAGAGGAGGCTGCTTTCACCTGGGGGGGGAGGGAGGAGGGTTTTAGTGTTTTAAAGCAAATAATTTCATTGGCAGCATTGGAACTGTTGAATTCACAAATTATGAATTACTGAAAAGTAGAAAATAAAACAACTAAATAGCGCCGTATGATTCACTGAAGATCGGCTCGTATTTTATAACATTTGTGTAGGCCTAATAAGTACAAATTGACTTCTGGTTTTATTAAGGCTAGAAATATTCAAACAAATAATTACTAGAAATATAATAGTACTTTAGCAAACGCTTTGATTTTTCATTTGGATTAGTAGAGTCAGGGTGTTGCTGTGATAAGGGATGCTATATTATTTAATGTAAATACATTACTAGGCTATTGACCACCATTGGTAATTTTATCATGGAAAACAATTGTTGTGATTATCATTTTAAAATATTGGAACTTATAAAATAATTCTTAACAATTATTCAACTGCTTATACTTAATATAAAAATATGAAAATGAGTGAAATTGATTGTTCCCAAACAGCTTTAAGTTTTTTAAAAATGTAACTAAAATTGTATCGCTCACCACATTTTTAAAAAGATTTTTCATAGCCTTTTCCAGCCTATTCTCAATACTGCATAATATACAGTAATCTGGCCTTAAAACTATTAAAAACTAATATACTTATATTTTCTAAAATTAAATTTCTGCAAGTTATTCTCTACTATCTTAAATAAGTTGTTTAGCCCAGAATATCTAGTTTTAAATATATTGATGGTCTTGGTTGCAAACTGTCTAACTCAGGAAAAAAAATCAGTTGTTTTTTTACATAAATCAATGCCTGAAAATATTATAGAAATCTGGATAATGATTATCGAGATATAATCATTTGAACAAGCCGGCTATTATTTCTAGCTCTAAAAATCTTGGGACAAAACAAATCATGCATTTTGTCAGTACACTTTTGATCAGCAACGCAGGCGCACGCGTTAATCCCACTATTTTACACCACAGCAATCAAAGTATTTATAGGTGAGGATATTAGATTAATTATGTTATCTATTATATAATATTCTATCATTTTAAAGAATAATAAACAAAGAGTATGTGTTTAACATAGCCTATTTCCTATTAGCTTTTCAAGAACCAAACTGATTTGTTTCCATTTTTATTAGGCTAACACAATATCTAAATTCTAGAATCTAATCTAGATCTAGAGACCAATTTAGAAATAAATATAATTATTTTTAATTCATTACTAGCTTTAAATTGAGGTTATTCTTCGTGTTAAGAAATGTTTTATATGGTAGGTTACAAAATGTTTGGCCTACATGTTAAACAACATAATTAGACTACTTGGAACTTACATTCAAATGTAAAAAGGTAGCCTACTTAATATTTCAATGACTAATAAATAGCTTGCATGCTTCAATCGTTAACACATAAAAACTTTACTTAGCATGCAACAGTTATTAGCATTACATGTTTAGATTTCAGATCAAACTTGAAATTATTTAATCAAATTATATGAAATTGAATTTACAGATGCTAACATACAGCATACATAGTGAGAAGGCCATTTAAGTTAGCTAGTAATCTCAAGCTATCAAGCAACAAACTAATGCCATTTTAGTAGTCACTAAAATATTCTTGTCTGGCTTACCAACAAAAGATCAGTGATATCTTTCAAGATACCAGCCTCTCACAACAGACCAGTCTAACAGTACAACAGACTAGCCTCTCTCAACTGTCAAGTCTAACCATACAAGAGATCAGCCTCTCTCAACAGACAGTCTGGCCTTTCAAGAATTCAATGCGACAGACACTGCAATACAACCCTGATGCTATTAGCTACTTCACAGTCAATTAGCAGATAGTTGGCAATATATAAACTTGGGTTGCAACATTAAGATCCCATCCTTAGTCCCTGACCAGTTTTACAAAAGTAGAAGAAAGATAAAAGCTGTCAAATATGAGCACCTATAAGCACTTAAACCTTTATTTCCTGCAGACCTACATCATTTCCATGATGATTTGCCTCATTTTTAAATCATTTTACAAAATTGATTGTTAGTCTTTTTTTTTTTTTTTTTCAAGAATAAATTTTTAAAAATTGAAAAAAATACTCAAAAGATAAAAATACAAGCCAAAAATAAAAGTCTAGTTCATATCAAGTGTTAAGGACTAAATTACAACATACGAATAACTAAATCACGTTCCTTAGACAAAACTAACAACAGTGGCTGAGACCGAAATTCTCGGTTCAAAATTGCTAAGTCGGTTGCGCAGGGATAGTGGGTTGCGCAGAGATTTTTAGAACTTGCAAACCATCTAACTTTTTAAAACTGCTATTGACAAAAATTATTTTAAAACGTTAAAGTATAATCTGTAAAGAGTTTCTTCGAACAAATAATTAAAAATAGTTTTAATTTGAGTGATTCAGAATGAAATAATCAGTTTTTTGTCTCTCCTGTAAAATTTACATTTTCTGAGTTAAGAAGGTTTGAGACCAAGACCATCAATATGGGAATCTAAAGTACAAATTACAAAATAACTTCCTTTATGACTTAGCAATTCATATTTTTATTTATACTTTATTTACAGAAACAAAACCACTCAGATCCTGCAGGCATTCAAGCTATTAGGTCAGCTCGTGGTAACAATTTGTGTGCAGACTGTTCTGCATCAAGTAAGTGTTTTTAAAACAATTGAAAATTAACTCTTGAAACAAATTCTAGTAAAAACAGCACTTTGTAACCAAGGAACTAATAATATGTTGCCATTAACCGCCAAAAAGCTGTTTCTTTTTCTTTAAAAAAAACTAGATAAATAATAAAATATAAACATTTCTTCCCAATTTTTGCTAGATCCTGATTGGGCAAGCATAAATCTAGGTGCATTAATTTGTATAGAGTGCTCAGGAGTCCACCGTAATCTAGGAACACATATTTCTAGAGTGCGATCTCTAGATCTGGATGAATGGCCGTAAGTTTTTTCTTAAATAATTGAAAAATAATAACGAACAGTTAATTATATAACCCTCTAAAACCCCAGTTCTAAAATAGCTGCATTATAGGGAAAAATCAATGCTTTTGTTTCTGAGATATTTTAGGGTAGAAAGCAATGAACAATATTTTTTCTGCCAATTGGCTTGTAAAAGATTAATATAAACATTAGCTCTATTATTTAAAATGAATGATTTATATTATACTGTAATTGTATTTTGTAAATAGTTGTTAAAACATTAATGTATATATAGTCTGGAATTTTTCCATTTATGTCTGGAAAATGTTTTTAATTTTCATTTGCAAAAAGCTATCTAGCCTGCCTGTTGGGATTGCATTTTAGACAAGTAATAGAAAATACTAACCTATTTTATAGAGGGCAAACATCTTACAATTTCCACTATTTTTTATTCTCTTAATTTAAGATGCTATTTTTAAAATGCTTTTATATTAACAGAAATGACATCGTTAAAGTTATGGTTGCAATCGGTAACAGTATTGTCAACAGTGTATGGGAAGCTAATATCAAAGGAAAACTGAAGCCTTCACAGACTACATTGCGGTAGTACTCTTATATTTTTATAAGGTTTTATTAAAAATCGCAAAGTCTGTTTGTTTGTTTTTGTTGGATTGTGGCTAATCTTGAAACTCGGTTTTAACATACTTTAAAGGTACCAATTTAGTCCAAAGTTTAGATCGTCAGGTTTGAAAGGGGAATTTTTACTTTTTATGTCATCAAACAACATAAATTTTTCTCGGGGTGGCTACACTCTGCTGTGCTTCACTGATATACACCTATAAATTAAAAGTGTGTTTGTTGTTGTTCTCTCAGGATCATCCCCTAAATGCACTACCTCAGTGGGTGATCGCCAGTGAGGCATAATTGCCTAAAATAAATTTCACCATACTGTAATTAAAGTGATAATACAAAATACTAAAACATCTATATTATATCTGAAATTTATTTATTTTTTAAATGTCTGTATTTTCATTTTTAAAAGTTGGACAAACTCTGTTAAAAATAGTTGAAAAACTTACAAAACTGTTTAAGGGTGTAGGCTCAGGGGTAAAAAACTTGTTTTATTAATAAGCCCTTTTTATTTATTTGTGTGTATAAGGAAAATACTTGCATGCATCAGAGACTCTACTTAACATATGGTTGCCATGGAAGAGAGTCTGCAAGCTTGATTTTCATTAAAAATTTTGTATGGTGAAAAACCATTATAATTAATTCTAAATTCAAAGGTACTTTCAGAAGAGTCCCAGATGTATGCAAATAATTTCCATACCCTAACTTAGATAAACACAAGTTAGTTAAGAAGTTTGTTTTTTCTGAAGCCTACCTCCTAAATGGAACTTATACTGTTTACTTTTTTAGGATATCAATAAAATACTTCTGTTACAATTTTCTAGGGAAGAAAAAGAAAGATGGATCAGAGCAAAGTATGAAATTAAAGAATTTTTACCACCACTACCCTACATAGATATTCCAGTTAATCAGGTATGTCCCATTTCACTTTAATTAGTTAAATGCCTTTTATAGCCTACACCAGGGCTGACTATTAGTTCAATTTTGTCTATAAGGGTAAGATAATACATTATTGCGGTTATGGTTATACTTTGCCTTCCATAAAAAGCAAAATCATCATAACTTTTAATTTCTGGTTGTGAGTTTTAACCTGCAGTGTGTTCAAATTTTAGCTGTATTATCTGATACTTTGACTCCCACTTCTGTAACAACTCTTAGCATACCATTGACTTAAGCAAAAATTTTAAAAATGGAAAAAAAATAAAGCCACAAGAACCCATTATATGTTAAATAATATGTACTGGATTGCCAATATTATTAAAACCTAACTTGAAATTCTTAATAATTGTATGATAAAGCACTAAGATTCAATATAAATTTTAACAGAAAATGTGACATTTTACCCAGGTCTAGAAGGTTTTCCACCCACCACCACCCCCTTTCATATTACTAGCCTCCAGCTCAATTGCCTACTGTCAATCACTGCATAATCACCCACTACTGAATATATATATTATACCAATGTCTATCCCTGTCTTTCCCTATATCTATCTCGTCCCTAACTCAGGGTTGGCGTGATTGCTAAACAGAAAAATCTTCTTTATCAAATCCCCCACTCATAAAAATAGAACATTCCTTCCTTAATTCTCTGGCAGATGAAGCTAGACAGCTGGAGAGACAACTCCAAAATCAAACAACTGCTGCCTTGTAGTTTGTTCTTGGTTGTACAAAGCTATGGAAGCAAATCCAAAAAGAAAGCAGGATGAAATCAGAGTCAATGGTCTATATATGGCACATAACAAGTTGACATATGTCTACTTAATTGTGTTAAAGGAAATCTCTTCTAACACTAAAATTAAGAACACAGAAGAAGAAAAATCTCTCACCCTATTCCTAACCAAAATTATAAGCTTATCCTTAACCCTTATCCTATCTCTAATCTTAATCATATCCTATCCCATCCTTACCCATTCTATTACCTCTATATAATTGGCTCTACTGAAACTAGAGCTATTGTTCATTGCTTTGTTGTCACTCAATCTGAAAATCAATAATGCACATTTCTTCTCTATTGGCCAATAACTCTATGTCTGTTGAAACTAGATAGATTGAATCTAGGTCAAGTTTCCGAATTTTTCCGAATTCCCTAGCTTTTTACTCAGAATTCTCTATTTTCAGTTAGATCTCGTTAGTTGTATTTTGTTCAGGGGAGGGACAGTAGGACTTGCATACTGTGTCAATATAGGTGGCTTCATAACAAACCATCAAACACCCTTATTTTCGTTAATAAAATACCTACATCGTCTTAGTTTTGTCATGTTCAGAGGTATATATGACGAATGTAAAAGGGGGTTACTAAATGATTAATATAGTGAAAGGCTAACAAAAAATAAGACAGTAGGCCTGCTTTGATTTGGTTTCAGCGATTTATCAGGGCCTAATTATTTCTAAATGTTTGGTTTCATTATTATAAAGAAAATATCTTTAGAATTAATCAATAAAGGTATAGTCATTAAAGACTTTTTGTAGATCTTATTTGCTGTGATGAAATAATGAATCTTAAAGATCCATGGTGGGATTTTCAACTAGTTCAAGATAGCTTTAGAAGTAGATCCATTATTATGGTATAACTTGTTTCAGTTTTACCTAATTACTTCCTAATTAGCACATGAAAATATTACAATCAGTTGTTTTATTGCACTTGACTCCCTATTGTTATTTATTTGATGTGTTAAATGTTTGTGACAATAATTACAAGTTATTCCTAAATTTCTTAGACTTATTGGTAATATTGGTGGAACAGAAAATTTTGATACTGAGCAGCAACTGATTTCGTTGATAAATTCCTTAAAAATAATTCAAAATCTTCACACATGACCAAGTTACTGTGGAAAGGGGTTTTTAATAAAGAAATTTTATGTTAAAAAAGGGTGGACCAAACTCAGAGCTCTAAGCCTAGAGAAGACTCAATTTTCTTCTAGTTTATAATATCTACTGGCAGCTGTTGGAACAGTTTATCAAACTAATAAGAAGGCCAAAGATGTAGACAAAGAAAATTATAAAGATACTTTTTGATGATGAACTGGCCCAACTCAAGACACACAAAAAATTAAGACTGATTGCTGAAGTGGAATTATTAACTACATCTGTTGATAAATAAAAACTACTTTCTGAGAAATCTAATGACATAAGCAAAGGCCACATCAGCTGAAATAATTGTGTTAGAAAGGACTTAACAGCAATCAATAGCTTTGATTTTTTTTTACTTTCTTCTATAGACGAAGTATAGAGAAAGTCTTGTAATCGTGCAAAAAGAAAAAAGTAAAAAAAAATCTCAACGTTTTACAGCTCCCTGAGTTGGAAAAACATAGTTTTGCAATCTTGTCCGTATGTCTGTGTGTGTGGATGTGTGTTTGGATATGTGTGTGTGTGTAAACAGGTTAACTTGAGTACCATTACAGCTAGGTTGATGAAATTTCATATATAAGTATTATATCAAATTTGTACATCTGTTTCAACTTTTCAGCAATTTCTAGTATCCGGAAGTGGAACTTTTGGTTTTTCAAAAGCCTATAACTAGAGTACTGTTTCAGATACACAAAATTTCCCATATAATTAAAAGATCTAATTCTCCGTTATCTGTCAAATTTTTTGTAATTTCCGATTACTGTAAGTAATACTTTATGCTATTTCAGATTTATAAAAAAATGCATATGAATTTATAAAGTACTAATGTTCCGCACTATTAAACACGCATTGTTTAACTATCACTTGATTCTATTCCGCACCAAATGTTTTAAATAATATGTTCTGTTAGTGTGGACGCTAAAGTATACATGTTGTATGGAGAAAATTTTTCCAGATAAAAATAACTTTGGCAGGCTTTGCGTTCTTTAAATGTATAATATATATGTCATAAGTGTAAACATGGTGTGAGACTGCAGTGACACATGGGACGAGTATGCTAGTTTAACTATAAATAACTCAATTTCTAATCAGATGAAAATTATATATATGGTATCTAGAAATCACTAACAGCACAAGTTGATACCCCATGCTGATATTTGAACTGCAGCTTACAACTTACATAGAAGTAGGGTTTAACTCTGACTTTTTAAAACATTGTCCTTAATTTTACTTTAATTTATTTCACAGCAATTAATTGATGCTCTTGTTAGAGAAGATATCAGAAATATTATTGTCATCTTGGGTCATGCAGAACCAGAAGATATTAATGCTCCATACAGCAAAGATGATGGAAGAACTGCACTCCATATTGCAGCAGCATTGGGGAATGTTGTTTTTGTGCAATTGTTATTATGGGTAATTATCAGAATAATTTATGTTAAGAGCAAATAGTAACAGAATTTTTAACCTTACCAACTTTTTTATGTTCATTTTTTAAAAATTACAACCTTCTACTATTGCTATAAAACTTTGTTATTGTTACTGTTTGCCAAAGGTGATCCATATTAATAAATATTAAATGCATAATAGTAAAGGTGATGCATATTAATAAATATGAAATGCATAATAGTAGCTAAACTATTCACATATCTTTGAATTGCTTATAATTTGGATTGTAATTAAGGAGGTAGGCTCCATAAAAAAAAATTCTTTTTTATTTTTTTGGGTATATCTATGTAAGGATATTTAAAGGAAAACATTTGCATACATCTGGGACTTTTCTGAAAGTATGGTTGTCCTGCAACAGTAGTTATTTTGGGGGGGAAAACTTTTTTGTGGAGGTCACTAGGTTCAAAATGAACAAATATATATTGATCATATAATCATTGATCATTTTTTTTACTAAATTGAATAGAGTCAGCTGGCTAGATTTTGTAATAGAAAACACTCTCGAAATATTTTTTTCAAATTTTCAAAATTTGGTATGGTGCAATACCAGTAGTTTAATTTTAATGATAGTTCACCATATCAAATTTTGAAAATCCAAAAATAATATTTCGAGAGTTTTTTCAATTAGAGTTAGTAAAGAAGTATCAATGATTATATATTTTAACCGTGAGATCTCCACTAAAAGGGTTTTTTTTTTTCAAGATGACCATCATTTTCATGGCAACCATATGTTAAGAAGAGTCCCTGATGCATATATATTTTCCATTAAGTACCCTAACTTAGATACACACAAATTAATTCAAAAAAAGCTTAACTATAAAGTTTTTTTCCAGAGCCTACTAAAACTGTTTAATGATACATTTCCTTTTTTTAATCTTTTTATTTACTCCATGGTTTGTGTACATTTCAATGAATATTTTAATATAATAAATAAAATACTAAGTTGTTTTTTTTTTACCATGTATAGGAATATTTCTCAACTGCTGTTTTTTCCCCATTATGCTCCTTTCACTCACCATTATTGTTTTTTTTTTTTCATTTACAGTACAATGCTAATGTTAAAGTTGTAGACCATGAAGGTAGAAATGCTTTATGGTATGCACGAAGTTCAGGTTCGTCTGAATGCACAGAACTTCTAACAAACAATGGATGTCCTGAATATCCAACTTTACCACGAAGACGGGGAAGTGTGCAACAGGGAAAGAATGATGTGTTTGATAAATTACCTGCAAGTGTTATTTAAACAGTTCATAACAGTGTAAAGGATTAAATGTGAATGATTGATATTTGAATGCTTGAAGTATCCATGTTATGTAATTACTTAATATCTATCAAGAAACTACGTTTTCATTTGGTTGATGTAAAGTTATAGTTAAGCATTTGTTTTGCAATTAGTTTAGTAAATAATTGATTTTAAGGATACTGCATCATATCAATTGTCTTTTCCTGTAAATGAATAGTATTCAGTTTTATTTACTTTAATTTTTTTTAAACAAGTCCGGATATCGTAGACCTATTTTGTGGTCTTTTGTATTTAACATATCTTTTTCTAGGAAATTAAGATGTAATTTTACGTCATTTGTTGTTTGTTTTGTTTTTTTGTCTATAGTTTGCATTTGACTTGCATTTTAAGTTCTTGTTAGTTTTTTGTTGGTTTTTTTTTGTGCTGTTTTAAACATTTTTAGGAAACATAATTCTAAAGGTCTCAGATAATTTGAATTAATTGGCTTCTTTTTAAACTGACACACTGAGTTTACTATTGAAAAGTTTTAAATACAAACTACTTGGTAAATATTTGTTTTTAACGTTATGTTTACTATTTGTTCATTGTGAAAAAAAATTATAAATCTCAAATATTCTTGAATTTAGATCTGTCACATTTTTAGCCACTTTGGCAATTACATTTATATATTCATTATATGTTTTTTTCATAAGAATAAAGTATCATTTTAATCTTTGTTACTAGTTCATTCACTGGGCTAAGATTTTTATGAGTTAGAAGAATATTCACTTTAAACCAGACAAATTAATTGATTACACATGAGCAAATTGAAACACATTTTGGTTGTAAGAGATCAATCTAAATTTTAACTATTTTAAATTGTAATATTGTAAGTGGTAAAAAAAAATGTGTGCATTTAATAAATTACAATGGCATTGACCAGTTGGGATTGGTTATTATTTGTCTTAGACCGCCATTTTTTGTGTGCTAAGCTTTTCAAGAATATATCTTGTCATGTGGCATTTGTAAGTAAGTGTTCTAAAGCATCTCATTTTTGGTCGCGTAAAACAAATATTACAAATTAAAAGCTAATATTTTGCTTACATTTACTGTAATGCACTAAAACTTATGATGTCAACATGACCTTGTTTGTTTACATTATTTGGCATCAGGGAGGCTTGGGTTGGATTTTTCCTTTAAATTTCATTTAATTAATGACAAATACATCAGGTTGGTAATGAAAAGCATTGGTCTTTATAAGTATGTGTTTTAGCAGCTTTGTACTAGATTTGTAAAAAAATGTAATCTCCTTGATTGCCACTTGAATATTTCCTAATAATAGTCTAAAATGCATTTTAAAATTGTTATTCTGTTAGGTTAGTCTATGTCCAGCATATTATTGGGATAACTGGAACAAAAAGAAATGTATTTATGAATCAGTGATTTATGAGCTCGGTAAAGTTGTAAAAATTCTGTGACCTGATTATATAAAGTGATTAAAATTTTGCTGTGTATCTGATAACTGAAAAAACCTGTAAATTATAGTTAACTTGAATATATTTTATAATGTGCTATACAACTGCATTGTTCCTATGTAACTCTTATAGTATACCATTTTGATCAGTGTTACTATTTCATTTATTTAATGTCTTTTATTATTTAACAAAACATGGATGTCGATTTCTTTAAAAAGGTGTTTGCTTTCCTTGACACCTTAATTTTTAAGATTTATTTGTGACACCTAGTTACTATTAACGAAGTAATATTAAGAATTTATAAAGGATTTGAATTTTTAAAATAACTTTTCCATAACTGGATGTATATTAAATTTTTCTTTCAGGCTTGTGGCTGTAATTTGTAAAACTTGACTAATGTGTATGTCAACTAAGTCATAAAAGTTGTAAAGTTGTTTGTTAATTTCAAATTCAACAATTGTTTATTTTTATAATTTTTTTTCTTTACACAAGAACTAAAGATAAAACATATGACACTTTTAGATAATAGATTTTTAAGTCAGCTTTTTTTTTTATTATTATTTTATTTGTGATAAATTTACACTAGTCAGATGCTGACATACACAGAATGCAGTTTGTGAGTTTGATTTTTGGGTAATATGTTATCTTGACTGTTTGATGTTTCTTTTTTAAAGTTGCTGCATTTGATTTTTTATCTGTAAAATATGTAAATTAATGCATTTTTATGACACAACTTTAAATTTCAATTTTAGTAATATCTTAAGTTATTACAGATATTTAGAGAATTGAACATTTTATTACATGTAACATATTTGAAACTTAATTGTAGCAATTGCATTTGAAAGTAATAAATAAGTATTTGTTTTTGGTTTCTGTTGTTTTCTTTCCTTGTGTATGTCTACTTTAATATTATAGTTTGGTGCTTGTCCCAAAAAAGGCTTTCCTTTATGTTATTAATCAAATTTTTCTATTATACATTTGAAAGTAAATTTAGTTTGTTATAATGTAAAACAGTATTACATGATGAAACTAGATGTTTAGAAATTTTGAAATCAAATAACTTACGTATAATAAACTAAAAAATGTTATGTTGTGTTAGGGCTTTTATAAACTATCCTGAACTACTCAAGAGCCGTAGCCATTTTATTAATACTAACCAATATAGCTTGAGTGTTCCTTTCAGTCATTTTGGTCCTGGGCATTTGAAATATCTAGGAGGGTGAGGGGCGATAGTAAGAATAGTTAATATATTATTATATTTGCCCCTTATATTTTATGGCCGAATCTTTTTTGTGTAATGGCCAATATTATGAATATCACCAGCCAAAGTCAGAAACTTGTTGATTTCACTTTTACCAGCTAGTGTGACAGGCCAAAGTCTGTATCAGAAGATAATGTGCAAATTTTGGGCGTTCATACACTATTATTAGATGTGTCAAACTGATTTTTTTTTAAAGGTCCCAGAGGTTTTTTGAAAGTTGCTTTGTCAAGAACTCATGATTCTAAGATAGTGGGCACTAAATTTGTTCATATATCTCATATAGTAAAAAAGTTATGACGTTTTAAAAAATTGGTTTTTAACTTATTTTTCGAACACTCTAAAAAGTGACATGTTTGAGAGGTTATATCTGTAAAAGTATGTCACAATCTTTTGAACTCAACACAAACACACATACAGAGAGAACATACTCAATTTTTTTCAAACCTCAAAAATAAGTCCTTCATTTAAATTAATTGCATAGAAATTTTTTACAAGCTTTTATTTAACTCACTTCCTCTGTCTGTCGTCAGTCTGTCTAGATCGAAACGCCGGAGCGAAAATTCGGACACTTCTACTTGACAGATACGGTTCTCAGTTGGCACGTGGGTCAAGACATGAAGACAATGCAATCTGAAATTAAATTTGACTTAATTGGATGCCTAATAATTTTTTTATGAATTAATTAAAATTTGGACCGAATTAGTAGGCATGTCTATCCAACCACACCACACGCGTCATCACGTTCAATAGGCGCGCAATGGTTTTTAGTCATGAAACTCTAGTGTAAATAAAACATGTAAAGTAGTGAAAAAAAAATCATAAAAAACGTTTTAATAAGCTTTTATGTAATAATGCACTAAAAAGTAGAAAATAAATTATAGACTACTATTTAAATAACTATAAAGAAAAGTGTGGGTGTCTTCCTTAACATTAGTAAAGGTATCCAATAGATACCAAAGTTACCCACGCTTTTCTTTATAGTTATTTAAATCTAGTAGTCTATAATTTATTTTCTACTTTTTAGTGCATTATTACATAAAAGTTTGTTATTAAAACGTTTTTTATGAATTATTTTTTTTTGTCACTTTCTGAAAAAATTAAAGTGGAAGTAAAAATACAAACTTTGTACATTTTTAAAACATGTCTGATGAAAGAACATATTCTACTTGATAAGTATCAGAGGCGTAGCTACCCGGGGCCAACTTTCAATTTGGCGCCCCCCCCCCTTATATATATGTGTGTGTGCGACATTCCTGACAAGGTTTAATAGTTACAGTGTATGATTTTCGTTCCTTAAAATTTTACATTGAGATGCGTTTTCCTTTTACAAAAGATTAGTAACGTCAGAAAAAAAATATGCCTGATTTAATTTACAGGGTGGTTTGTAGCAAGCGCTAATTTTTTTAGACCAGCTTTTTATGTTCCATTTTCAGAACGATATCTGTTGTGATATGGTACATAGTTGGATTATAAGTTTGTTAGAATAAGGTCATACAAATGACAAGAGCAACTTATCAGAGACATTTATTGTCCGCATTGGAATACGACTTGGGTATTTCGTTGATTGACTGATGGAATAACTAAACGAGCTAGAGGAAACAAACTGGAATCCAACGGATGTTAACAGCTCGATTACTTGGATTTCGCAGATGTGCGCTGCCTTCTCGCACACAGTCAACAACAGTTACAAAACTAATTGTACTGACTGAATAAGCAGTAATAACCGGTTTAATGATAGTGGCACCGCCCATGACGTTCTGATTATAATCAACAGCAATGAAACGCGTTTTAACACTCTTAAGACAATGTGGAACTCAAATGCATTGTCAAAAAAAAATCAATCAGGATCTGTAGCTAAATGTGAAGTCTCTTTTACTGTATGAGTAGATAACAGACAGTGGAGAATGAAATAAAAGCATGGGAAAAGTGTTGGTTAGGGCACAATATCAGATAGAGGAAGAGAAGGAGACAAAAAAGTCCTGAAGAAAATCGTTTGAACTAGAGAAGTGGGAGGCTGTATTATTAGGCTTCTATCTTCATAAAAATCAAGTGAGTTGACGAAGTGTTGCTAACGCCTATGCTCCTTAGGAAACCGAAACGAAAAAAAAAGAAGAAAATCCAAAATCCCCCCCCCCCCCCCGGACGAGATGGAATTTATATAGTAAACATACACTTATACTATTGTCGTCGCCCCCCCCCCCCCCCCCACCCCGAAAAATGTAGACCGCCCCCCCCCCCCCCCCGAAAATATCAAGTGCCGCCACCCCCGCCTCCCCCGGAGAAAAAAGTCTGAAAGAAACACTGTTGGTTCTTAACCTGGGCTCGATCGAACCAAAGAGGCTCGGTGTGTAAGTCTCAGAGCTTCGGCGGAGGTCAAGACACGCACCCGACTCATGTGATTCACGATAAAATTTTGTCAATGTGGACAATAAAACTATTAAGAAGGGTTAGGTGAAGGCGCATGTGAAACTGTTAGGGTTCTGTACCTTTAAAAAGGTTAAGAACCACTGCATTAGAGTGTAGTTTGTAAAAGGTTCAAGCTTATTTGGTCTACTTTTGGTTGTGTCTTTAGAACAATTTCGATAATAGTGTATTATACTTTTGAATTATCAGTTAGGTTGAACAAAGTGACAAAGCATCACCTGTTGTCGTGTTGTACCAATTTTTTTTTACATCTTTTAGTAGGTCCAGTGGCCTTAATTATATGAAAACTGCAGTATGAGGACTTGTTATGAAACAAAAATGATCAGAGTTTCTTCCAGGCAGGGGGCTAAGCCCCCCCCCCCCCCCGAAAATTTTTTACCGCCCCCCCCCCCCGAACGAAATGAAATTTATATAATTTATATAGAAAATATATACTTTTAACAGTGTCCGCCCCCCCCCCCCCCCGAAGAAAGTCTACCGCCCCCCCCCCCCCCCCCCCCCCCCGAAAATTTCAAGTGCCCCCCCGGAGAAAAAAGTCTGGAAGAAACACTGAAAATGATCTATCCGGTACAATATACTTAAGTTTTTAGCTCTTAAAATTTCGGCAAGAGTATCGTCTTTCGCCCACCTGCTACGACCGTATGCTATTTTACTGATCGGATAGCGATTCAAGAATCCGTGATATTTATTTCTCATTAAGACAGTGATCCTGGCAAGATGCAATCAAGTAAAAGTATCTGATCTCTCTCGTTGAAGATGAGAGAATCGTAAGAATATTACAATTTTCCAGTCACGTCATTTCTTAACAAAACTGGCTATTTAAATTGTACATTACGCGTTAATACAATTGGTTTCTTTTCTAAGTGTTAAAAGAGTTGTTTACTCACCAATCCAGTACAAATACTTACGATTTTTGTTCGCGAAAAAAGCGCCCCCACCCCTCACACCTCCCAACCATCTTGGACAAAGTTTGTAGAGCGGGTTTTAAGGTAACTAACTTTTTTAAAAATGTTACACAATCGTACAATGCACTTTTGTACCATTAGTTTCTTTTCGAAGTGCTAAAGGCTGTTTACTCAAAATCCGGTGTAATATTGCGATTTTATTTAGCCTAAAAGCGCCCTCCCCCCGCACCATCTTGATAAAAGTCACTAACATATTTTACGGTTAAACAATCGTACAATACATTTTAATGCAATTGGTTTCATGTATAGATCTAAGTGGTAACGTTTATCGACTCACCAATCTAGTATAGTATTAAATTCTTCCGATTTTAGTTTCGGAAAAGCTGGAAAGCGGTTTTGCCGGTCACTGTTTCTTAAGAGTATATGTTTTACAGTTAATAATCAAGGTAGAAAACAGTTAAATCAGTATGCAAAGCAGTGTAGACTGTTTATGATTCAAAACTGCACCATAAAATCAGCTTTTAAAATTTTTTCCACCTCTTTTGGCGCCCCCCTAGGGTCGGCGTTTGGGGCAGCCGCCCCCCCCCCATAGCTACGCCTCTGATAAGTATGTCAAAATGTAGGGGAGCAAAGTTTCTTTGAATTTAAGTAACATGTATGCATAGAACAAGTATGTTTGAAACACACCTGAGGTGGATTTGAGTTGTTCTATTATAACACACTGACGAGAAGCCATGCTGTTTGTATATATATTTTATTGGGCCTTCGACTACATGATGGAAGACCGGAACAGGAAGTAACAATAGATAAATACAAGGGACATCACTCAATAACAACATTATAAATATAACTAATACAAGAAGAGTGAGTTCCCCTGACCTCACAAAACCCAATATATTACATCCCTTTACCCTTAGTAAACACAACACATCTCTCAATAGAACAATTGACAGTATCTTAAAATCACCAATTATATTGTAACATGGACACTATGGTAGATTACACCCTTACAAACAATGCACAATATGTTACAACTTAATTAAAATACAAAACAATGATGTCAAAGTCCTTTTGACCTTTAAAATCATAGGTCTAACTTATTTGGGACTTTGATTGTCCTGCTTGACCTTCTCAGTGGCTTTTGATTTGGTGACTCAAGATTCTGACCATCTGGATTCTCTATCTCAGGAGGTCTAGGATTTAAATCATTAACTCCAGAATTTACATTGGTTCACTCATATCAACAGAACTTGGTTGTGGAACAAACTGAGTTGGTGTGAACTGTTCAGATTTGGTGGGATTGACAGATTCACACTTATTATCTGCACAAGTTATTTTTAACTGGTCTGCATGTCTACGGACAATAAGTCCATCATTTGTTTTTACTTTATAAGACACAGGTCCTGTACACTGAACAATTTGACCTGGCCTCCATTTTTCCCTTCTCCCATAATTTCTTAGATACACATTCTCATTAACTCCAAATTCTCTTTCAATGGATGATTTGTCATGATTTACTTTTTGTGTATGTTGATGTTGGGAAACAGACCTTTGAACAGTTGGATGTAGTAGATCAAGGTGAGTTTTAATTTTCCTACCACATAGCAATTCACATGGTGCAACACCTGTTGTTATATGAGGAGTTGTGCGGTATTTGGTTAAGAACCTGTTTACTCTTTCTCTAAGAGAAAACTTGTTACCGGTACTCATTTTTACCATAGCGGTTTTGAATATGCCTACCGCTCTTTCAGCTAAACCATTCCCAGCAGGATGATAGGGGGATGTGGTTATATGCTCAATACCATTTGCCACACAAAACAGTTTAAACTCATGAGCTGTGAAACTAGGCCCATTATCTGAAACAATTTGATCTGGTAATCCATGAGTTGAAAATATTTCCTTAAGTTCTATAATGGTATCATTTGCAGTGATTGTGTTCATGATTTTAACTTCTAACCATTTAGAATGTGAATCAATAACAATTAAGAACATTTTGTTCATGAAAGGTCCTGCGAAATCTATATGTATACGTTTCCATGGTTCGATTGGCCAGTCCCAGTTTTGCAAAGGTGCTGTAGCTGGTTGCTTTGAATGTTGTGCACAGCTTGAACAAACATTTACATATTTTTCAATATCAGCATCCATATGTGGCCACCAGAACCATGATCTTGCTAGACTCTTCATTTTGGAAGAACCAAGGTGAGTATCATGTAAAGTTCTTAAAACTTCTTTTTGTAACATTTTGGGGATAATTACTCTTGACCCCCATAGTACACATCCATCTTCTAGACTTAACTCCATTTTTCTTATTTTATATGGCCTTAAGTCATCATTCACAGACTCTTCAGGCCAACCATTCTTACAGTACTCATATACTTTTATTAAGCACTCATCTTTTTGTGTTTCTCTTTTAATATCATTCACATTTATATTGGAGTTATCCATGATAGTGAAGAGAACAAATACATCTTCTGGCACATAGCTAAGGCTTTGGTTTTTTAAAGGTAATCTACTAAGACTATCTGCACTATTCTCAGATCCAGGTTTGTATTTCAATTCATAATTGTATGCAGTTAGTGTGATAGCCCATCTTTGAATTCTTGGTGAGGCATGCTCAGGTAGGGTTTTGTTTTCTCCAAATAAACCTAGCAATAGTTTATGATCTGTAAAGATGGTGAACTTCCTACCAAACAGAAACTTATGAAATTTCTTAACACCAAAAATGATGCCTAAGCCTTCCCTATCTAACTGAGAATAATTTTTCTCAGCCTGGTTCAAAGATCTACTGGCAAAAGCAATGGGTATGTCACCCTTTTCATCCATGTGGGATAAGATTGCTCCTACACCATCAGGTGAAGCATCACATGTTAAAATAAGTCTTTTCCCTGGGTCATAGTGAGTTAGTAAGGTGTCAGAAGACAAAGCTTCTTTTGCTGTATTAAAAGCAGCTTCTTGTTGTTTACCCCAGTGCCAAGTTGCATTTTTCTGTAGCAGCTTGTACAGTGGTGATAGTTTACCAGACAGATTCCCTATGAACTTTGCATAGTAATTTATCAAGCCCAAAAAAGCTCTTAGTTGTTGGGTATTTTCAGGTTTGGGTGCTTCTTTAATGGCTTTTGTTTTCTCAGGTTGAGGTCTGATACCTTGCTTGCTTAATATATAACCAAGAAAACTAATTTCTGTCAGCATGAATTGACATTTATCTTTGTTTATCTTTAAACCTTTTTCACCAACTATTTTCAAGACTTTATCAAGTGTTTTAAGATGTTCAGTGTCATTCTTACTAGTTATGTACACATTGTCAAAGTACACACAAACATTTGGAATATCCTTAAAAATACTGTCCATGACAGCCTGGAAAATTCCAGGGCTGGATGATATACCAAAACATAGTCTTTCATATTGGTAGAGTCCTTTATGTGTGTTTATTGTCGTATAGACTTTTGAATCTGGATGCAGTTCTAGTTGAGTGTAAGCATGACTAAAGTCTAATTCAGTGAATTTGTCTCCTCCTGCCAAATTCAAAGAAATTTCCTCAATGTTAGGAATAGGGTACCTATTTAGCTCTATTTGCTTATTCAGTGTAGCTTTATAGTCTCCACAAATTCTTACAGAACCAGTAGCGTACGCAGGGGGGGGGGGTGGAGCAGGGGGAGCGGCCGCTCCCCCTCTGGCCATTTTCAGCAAAGTGGCGCCGTTTTGGACACTTTTTAAACTCAAAGTTTTAAACAATGATATTTGTAAAAAAAATATGTTTGGTCGGCACATCTATGTAAATCACAAGATTTCTTTTCATGCAGCAATTAAGCATTATTGTACTAGTCTAGTAGTGTCTAAGTTTACAACACGTATTAACAGTTGCATCAGTTTGCCATTCTAAAAATAACCATTACGATGCATTGCAATGTTAAAAAACCTCTACGGTAGTACCACTTGGCAAGAGGGGTGTTAAGTTTAAGGCAACTGTATAATGTATTTACTTACGAATAATTGAATTAGAAAATGTTATACATAAAACTTCACACATAATTACTTTATATATACAGTTTGAATCGTGTGATCAATTTAAAAAAAAATAAAATACAGAAACAAATACAACTGACGTGGCACCTCTATTTAAATTTACTTATGAGCAAACTGCGTCGTGGTGGGGAAATTTTGACAAGGTCAACAACGTCATCACGACGAAGTAGTAGTATTCTTACAGTTTGGGTGATAGTGATTACGATTACAAATTATATGAAACAGTTACAACCCCCCCCCCTTCCCGCACGGACCCCTCTTAAAAAATATTGTCATAATACCACTGCCACTTATTTAAATCTATTTCTGTAATATATATTTGTGTAATATATATTTATGTTTAGAACAGTCATCTAAAAACTGACGCTATGTTCACTCTGAGTTGATTATCCCCCCTCTTCCCCACAAGCACACACATCTCACCACCACAATTGTGAAGAGCGACATTTATGTCACACTTAGGTATATACTGGGTTGGATAATTGACCTAAAGAGAACGGACATATATATATATATATATATATATATATATATATATATATATATATATATATATATATATATATATATATATATATATATATATATATATATATATATATATATATATATATATATATATATATAAATATATGAGCGGGTGAATGGATTATTTATTTTGTATTAATTTTATTTGTTGCGAATCTAGGAGTGCATGGTGGTCCAATGGGGAACAGCCACGGGGTCCCCTTCCGTCCGAAGCGGTCAGTATAAATTGACCGGTCGGGGGATTTTCTTCCTTTTTGACCCGCGGCGAGATGTAGGTCGGGTCAGGTTTCTGTGTTGGCGCGTGGCGCACCTCACGCGTGGAGGTATTTGTTTTTTTATGCTTTATCTTTATGTGATTTGTATGAATGCGACTGTCGATGTTTCTCGTTTTCTTTCATTTTCGTCTAAAACGAGATAGTGAGCATCAGCATGTCTGGTATGCACGTGGTGTGTTATTTTGTTATTTTTTTAAATGTATTTTTTATTTTCTAAACCCGTGGCGTGTGTTTCGGACCACGTGGTTTAGGTCAGTGTGTTTAGGAGTGTTTCCTAAACTAGTGTGAATGCGTGTGTGCATTTACTTGATTGTTTTATGATGTGTTGTTATTGACTAGGATTGGCTTAGTCAATAGTCAGTTGTTTTAGACAGTAATTAGATTAGTATATTTTAGTTGCCTCGAGTTTTAGGTTGTTTAAAATTAATGTGTGTGCTGTTTCGTGCAACGTCATGTTGAGTATCGCTTGCTTTGTGTCTGCCTTCATTGGGGCCTTAGCGGAGTGTGTTAGTTTAATGTTATCAATATGGATATTGTTTATGTAGACCAATGGCTTCGGGCTTCCTTGTGTAGGAAAGATTGGTTCTACGATGAATTTGTTTACACGTTATTTTTAAGTTGCTAGTTCTTCTTTAGACAGTGGTTAGTTGTTTTTGAGAATTGCTTTTAGAATTGTAATAGTAGGGATTAGTTTTACTCTAGGCTTTAGCTAGATAGTAGTAGTAGGTAGCATTTTGAACTTGTGTATATATTTATGTATATATCTGCCATTACCATGCAATTTTCTTATGTTTCCCTTTTCTTTTTCTCTTCCCCCCCCCCTTCCAGTGAGGTTGCTTGGGCAACTTGGCTGGGTGTTTTGTTATATATGAATTGTTTTGTTTGGTGTAAAAGGTTTGTTGTGTACGTATTGTTTTGTACGTAACGTATTGTACGTAGTGTTTTGTTTGGTGTGTGACTT